TACCATACACATATCTGTATAATGAGTCTCAGTCTGGTCTTTGTTTTTTTGTATTCAGAAAAAAAAATAGTGAAAAATCCTTCTCGTCCATGTAGCTTAATTATTTCTAAAAAGTCTACATTTTACTTCTTGAAACAGCCCTAAATGAATTCCTGACAAGTTACAGAAATTATTACAGTTAATACAGAATTTCTTTTAGTTGCTTTCATGTATAGGATCATGATGGTAATACAACTTAACTAGGGGCAAAGAATATAAATAATTGATAAAATAAAATATTTGGAGCCAAAATGTTAATTATAAGTAAAATTTTAATTGATTATGTTTCCAGAAATTTGTGAAAGCACCAGCTGCAGCAACAATGGAAAATGTCAAGAAAATGGAGGGAACTTGTTGTCATGCCAGTAAGCAAAGCTTTTTCTAGTCATCCTTAATCTAGCTTTCAAGATTTATATCTCAGCTGATCTAAATATAATGGTGTCAGGCCATGGTGCAACATAGAAAAATAACAGATTGAACATTAGCATTTGTTAGATCGCTTTTTATATTCTTAACCTTAAATGAGTGCAATATGCAGTGCTGTCTTGTTAATTATTTCTGTAAATTCAGCAATGATCTGTTTATTGGAAATTACCAAGTGCTTTAGTCATTTGATATTTTAAAAAAATTCAGGTGCAATGAGGGTTTTGTGGGAGACCAATGTGACACTAAAGGTAAAAAATTATAGCAAATACATTTTAAATAATTAATATTAACATCAAATGTGATTGTTACTTTTTCATATCCCACAGATTCATTGTGCAAAAAAAGTATATTAGACACAACTATATTCCACTGAATGCATTTATTAAGAATTAGTTAGAATTGACTAGTGGAACTGATGAAACAATCAAGGGAATGATATAACACAAATGAAAGAGCAATGAACAATCACCCTTTTCACATGATATCTATGTATTTATTTTAATGTATTTAACTTATTTCAGTCCTGATCCACTGGGAGATTCTATTGATAGCAGGATGCAGTAGCCTAGCAGTTCTTTGCGTCGTCATCCTGATAGCAGTGTTTGCAGAGCGCAGTCGGATGTCAGAGAATCAGTCTTGCTTGTCCAGTACTGAATTCAGCGCATATGACCAGGAAAGTGTTTCTGTGTCTACAAGCAGTTTTCATCCAAGTAGTAACGACAAAACATCTGTTGCAAGCCAATTACCCATCATGCGCAGTATCCATTCCCCCAAAACTCGCCTAACTCCACAACAGAAGAAATACATCAAAACTTTTCCAACAAGAATAATAGATAGGTTTAACTGGAAGGACAAGAAATCTTCAGTGAAGAAAAATAAAATATTTTCTTTCATGAGAAAGGAAAAGAAAATTAATCCAAAGACTTTCATTGGTAATGGAGTGCCAGATGCCCATAGGGAAATTAATGGTACATATTACTATGGCGCCGAAGAAGAGACCATACCAGCAGCATATGACAGAAATGACCTTAAGAATGGCAGACAGAAGTCTGTGTTAAGCAATGGCAATATGTTCCCCTTAAGAGAATCACCCCTTTCAAATGGCAGTCCATTTGCTCAGCAACAACATCAAAACAGAAGGCAAAGTCCAGGAGGTGCGACAGCATCTCACTACATTCCCGAGTCAATACCTAATCCAGTCAGTGGGAGAAAACGCAATAGAGTTGGACAAAGTCCACCAACAATGCATCAAGATTTGATAGTCATTCAAGAAGCACCTGTATCAAGAACAAGGCCAATATCTCCAAGGAAATATAACAAAGGTCCTACAGCACATGTTGCCGTAACCCGTTTTGAAGATTCGTCTGTGTCGAGAGACGGCCAAACTTATGTGAAAAGGCTTATAAGTGACAGAAAGGGCCCATCAATGAATGAAAGAGACCCCTCTGTGTCAAGATTGAGTCCCTCCAATCTCAAAAGACATGACAGACTACAAGATAGGGCACAGAACAGACAGACAGAAAGGATTAGCAGCCCCACAGAGGATGACGAGCCGAGAACATTTACCCACAGATACAAGGAAAACTGGAAAAAGATGGGAAAACACAGTGGTTTTCAGGAATTCGGTCAGGTAGTTTTCCTGATTTTCAGAACATCTTTGTTCTTAATTTTTGCTGCAGTATGATTGATGCAAGCACATTTTGAAAGAAAAATACCCTGTTTAAATTTCATTCAGCGAGCAAAAAAAAAACCTGTAATAGATTAAAAAAAAAAAACATTTTTGGGATATGAAATATTACTAGCAATGTAAAATTACTGTATTATATAACTAAATTAACCAAAGTATGCTCACTTAGAAGATCTTCATCATTATTACTGTGGTTAAAGTGTTTTTTTTTAATTTTTATTCAGGATTCTGTATCAGAAGTCCACAACACACCTAAACAGCCAAAATCCCCTAGTAATCTCAGCTCTACTCAAACCAACTTGGAAGCTTCAATGAATAACGTGAGTAAACAGAACAAAACTGAACAATTTTAATCAAAACTGCTCTGAATGAGGACAATGTGATTTTTGATACAGGTTCTTGCCTATTTGTCAAAAAAGTTTATGATGAAGGGCAAATCAATTAATTATTTTATTTATTCTGCAATTTTATGCCATACATTTACTGTATTATTTCAGGGAACACCATTTTCGTATATACCATCCCTGGAAGACAGTGACTTTTTTCGCAGAAAAAGAAAGCAACATTATCAAAGTCACAAAAGGAAAAGAAGAAGTTCGGTGGAGAGATCGCCATTTCAATCCCCCCCTGAAGAATGGGTAAAATACCACAGAGAAACAATAAGCACGGGTGACAGTGAAAGTGGAATTCAGTACTAAATATTGGCAAATTGTAAACTTAAACAATGTTGCAAAGTGGTATTCTGTTCCAGTGATGCTGTTCATTGCTTTGTTTTCTATTATTAACAACTTTTTTTTTTTTTTTTTGGGGGGGGGGGGGGGGGGGGGGGTTTTTCTTCCCCCCGGGTTGGTCCT